CACTTCCTCTTAAAGGAAAGTAAGGAGGCGGCAAGGGGATCTCGGACTCAGGGGGCGTGTCCAAAATGGGCCTAACACCAGTCCTAGTGGACAAACAAGTCCTGGCCACCATGAGGCGACATTGCTCCTCGTGGCATATCCGAATCCATTTTGGCGAGTCGTTTACGGCCTGCCCCCAACAATCAATGTATGGAAACTGTCCATAAAGTTCAGGCCTACCTGACACAGCCACGTGTACACGCTGTACCAGGGTTGGATCCAAACTGCCACGCGGCGGCCATGCCGCAACCAAAATAGGCCACTCCCTAGTGCACAAAGTGACCAAACGTACAGGAGACATTTTAACCCCATAATCACATGTTTTGAATCCCTTTTTAAAATTCTTTACCATACAACCTAAGGGATCCGAAATCGTTGACTCTGACGCGCCCATACTTATCAATGGAACGTCATTGACAACGAATACTATGCACGCGTTCTTATTCAACAGTCACACCCGTTTCCTCTGGCAACAGCACCACGTGGTACAGTTACCGAGTGAAACGTACACAATAACACAATAATAACTCAGGGAATTCCCGTACACACACAGCTGTTACACCAGTCACTAAATAATCAATATTATGCCCTTTGGCGAAACTATACAGTCACCCACGCTATAATTCTCTATATATGAATTACCCGCCTATAACACACCCCAGTAACATCGTCTTTTACTAGTATCGGTTACAGTACGGTTAGCATAGGTCAAAGCACAATTTAAGGTCACAATACAATTATTAGTGGTTAGGGTGTTAAACATGCAATAGACGACAATGATTAGTACTTATATACAGTGTCAGTAAATATACAGGGTTATGGTACCGTGCACTATGATACAGCAACACACTATTAACACTCTCGCTAGACGGCTGAGCTCGCGCTATCTAACAAGATATACACTTTACTAACAATCTTTAACACATTTACAATCCCAACTAAACTATTGGCCAGTACCTTGAATGGACTACCTAAAACTATATACACCCGTTTTGGTTAGCCACACTGCCCAAACACCACATATAGCGAACTAGAGGGCGAAATTTACAAAATTGCCCTTCTAGTCTATTTACTCTATCAAAAGTCTAGTGGGTTCCAAATTTACACGCCTTCCCACTTAGCCAAGATAGGTTGAGAGCTAGCGAACCGAATTTACACAGGCGCCGCTTAGTCTCCCGGTCCCTCCGACCTAGCGAACGTAATATACACCCTAGAACGCTAGTCTAGACAAGACACCGGTGTCCGGCTAGGGCTATTTACACAGGACCCCGCCTGACTAACCAGATCAAACGGTCTTACTAAAGAGCGTTCGATCGAGCGGTGCGCCTTCGCTCCTTCCCTCCGACAGAGGGGGCAGATTCCATACACAGATTTAAACCCCTTTTGGGCCTACCGCACAATCGGTATACCCCTAGTGGGTCTGCCGCCTAAAACAGCAGTTGTCTTACCTCCTCGTTCCTGAACCTGAGTTCACACTCATCGACGGGGACACCCCAGCACTTCTTACGTAGAGGCCGATGATCTCCTGGACAACAGACCAGTGGCGCCGAGACGAAGGGAGGTCCACGCAGAAGTTCAGGGGTGCAGCCGTAGAGAACGTGGGCAAAGATAGACCGTCTCACGCCTCTGCCTCTCAGCTACCGTTGAACGATGAGCTTCCCGGCCAATGCACCAAATGATACCGGAGAAACTGACGGAAGCAAAGCACAGAGGGATGGACACAGGTTTCTTCAGGAAGGAAGAGATTCTTTATTGGATCACCGATCGGGACTCAGAGGGACTAATGTCACCAAAAATACAGCAAGTTCTGAGCCCTGAACAATAGTGCAGGCTCCCTATATAGGCACATAACTCCTCCCATATTAAGCTCCACCCGCACATTCTCTTGACCAATCATTACAAATAAGAATTAACTTCCTGCTTGACCGCATGGCTTGTCCAGCACAATGGAGGAGGGGAATACTACATCCTGTATTCTTGCACATGCTCCGTACACTACTGATCGTATCTTGCCTCGTGCAACCAACTGATCGATACGTCAGCATATGCACGTACACATGCCACGTGGTAATCTCGGCCTACTAAATTTATTTTTACCGAGATTCCACCACAGTTGGTGTTCTCCCAAACACGTTCAGTGATCACTGTTTAGTGTACTGCGTGCGCAAAATAAAGGCTATTAAATCCTCTCCCAAGGTTAAAATAACTAGGTCCTTCAAAAAATTTAATCTTGAATCCTTTTTAAATGACATCAAGAATCTCTCATGGCACAGATTAAACATTATCCCAGATCTAGACTGTGCTGTTGAATACTTTCAGTCTGAACTCCTAGAAATTTGGAATTTGCATGCCCCGCTGCGTAAGGTGAGTGTAAAAGGACCACATATGAACTGGATCACAGCTGACCTCATCCAAATGTACCAGTTTCGGGATTCTTTGTGGTCAAAGTTTAAGCGTACTGGCTCTATGAATGATCACTGTGCATATAGACAATGGCGAAATATATGCACAAAACAGACAAAACTGGCCAAGGCCCAATATTTCTAGGAAAATCTGAACAGTAACATCTCAAACCCTAGAAACTTTTGGAAAGTCATAAATAAACTACAAACTCCCCCAATCCACTCCCAACCCTCCACTGTCAAAGTGGGTTACCAAACCCTGCAACTTCCCTTAGATGTAGCAAATGCCTTTAACAATTATTTTGTCGGATGCTCTACTGCCCTGATTGCCAAGCTAATAAATGACACACAACCTGAAACTACAAATGTGGATCAGGTCACACTAAATATGCAAAGGCCCAATATAGACAAGTTTATTTTTAGACCTGTACCTGTTAGTGTCATTAAAAAACATCTTAATAATCTAAAAATGAAAAACCAGTCTGGACCCGATCAAATCCCAGCAATGCTGTTGAAGCTCAGTGCGCCGGCAATTGCTAAACCCGTCTCAACTCTAATTAACCAATCCTTGGTGTCTGGATACATACCCAAACTTTGGAAGACTGCGAGAGTAGTGCCTATCCATAAAAGTGGGGACACTACTTTGGTTTCTAACTATCGCCCAATATCATTGCTCCCGGTATTGTCAAAAATCTTAGAAAAATGTGTCCATACGCAACTTTGTGAGTACTACTAACAATTAAACTATCTGACCCCTGATCAATCGGGCTTTTGCCAGAATCACTCCACTACAACTGCCCTCCTAAAAGTTTGCAATGACATCCAAACTGGCATGGAACAAGGAGCCCTAACTGGAGCTATTTTCCTTGATTTTGCTAAGGCCTTTGACACAGTAGACCACGACATTCTACTGCACAAACTCAAAAACTCAGGTATTGGTGATCATTCTCTAAACTGGTTTCGATCGTATGTATCGGATCGCTCGCAATATGTGTCCATTTCTGACAGTGACTCCCTCCCTCTCCCAGTCACGTGTGGTGTTCCCCAGGGTTCCATTCTCGGCCCCCTACTATTTACATTATTTATAAATGATCTGCCTAATGTCTGCCAATCCTCAAATGTACACATGTACGCAGATGACATGGTAATCTATGCGAGCAAATCCGATCTACCGCAACTTGAGGCTGTGCTCCAAGACCAGTTTACAGAGGAAGAAAGGTGGATCACAAAAAACAAACTCTTCCTGAACACTGACAAAACTGTCACAATGATCTTTGGAACAGTACCTAAATTACACAAATTACACAATTCCCACCCATCCATCAAAACAAATTCAAATGGCACACTGACCGCAGTCCACTCGTTCAAATACTTGGGTATGATATTAGACCCCAATCTATCTTTTGGCCTGCACATAGAAAAGCTTACATCTAAACTTTATCCAAAAGTAGGTGCCCTGTACAGAAACAAAGCATGCCTAAGCCCTACAGTAAAGGAAAAGATTGTACAGCAAATGCTGATGCCAATCATTGATTATGGGGATGTAGTCTATGCATCTGCATTGCAATCCCACATTAATAAACTCAACACATTATATAACTCGTTCTGCCGATTTATGCTACAATGTAATTACAGGACCCATCATTGTGACATGCTAAAAGAACTAAACTGGCTGTCGCTGGAATCCAGACGCACCCTTCATCTTTCCAGCCTTGTGTTTAAGAGCTTTTCTGGGAAACTCCCACCCTACCTGAACAAAATGCTTTCCCCAGCTGTTCCCACTTTCTATAAGCTCCGATCCAGTACAAGCACTTTACTTAGTCTACCTCAATACAAAAAGAAAGCGGCCCGATCCTCCTTCTCCTATAGAGCACCGCAATTGTGGAACGACCTCCCGCACAATTTAAAATCTTCCCTAAGCCTAAAGTCATTTAAGAGATCCCTCTCTACATACCTCAAAACAGAATGCACATGTCATGGTTGATTATATATTTCCTGCCTGTTCTATGTTAAATTTTGTATATATTGTGTATTAATATTGTTTTTGTATTTTTTTGTACCCTAATGTAACAATGCAATGATTTGTGGACCCAGGACATACTTGAAAACGAGAGAAATCTCAATGTATCTTTCCTGGTAAAATATTTTATAAATAAATAAATAACTGTCGAGTATTCTCTCGGAACTCGACAATTTCAGTACAAATTTGCACCATTGTAAATAATCCCCTTAATTGTCCATCTCTAGAATTTTTTTTGTGTTTTTTATTAATCATACTTTCCCTTTATGGCTAGTCTTGTAATAAGTCACTTTAATATCCTATCTAGCTCATAGCTGTGAAGGGCCTCTAAGCCATGCTTCACACTTATTAAGGCACAAACTACAGGCCAGTGTTAAATGGCACAAGCATTGAAGTGGTCATGCCCGAAAGGTCTCATCATCCATCTGCTAATGGGTTTTCTAGCGATGCACTTTAGCCTGAGTGGTGCCTTAAAAGCTCTGCTGGAATTGAAGTCCTTGCCTCAAAACTATCTGTGTTTGAATTTTTAGAACCAAAAAAAAAAGCTATGTCCTGTAGGGACTTGTTGATAAACAATTACCCAGAATACTTGGGAAGTGGGGATAAATCTGTTCTTTTGTATAACGTCTAAAGCATTTTCTGTTTTTAGATAGATTACTTTAAGGTCCAGTTCTGGGTCATTTTTGGAATGTCCTGGTTTGTCTCTCCAAAATACAGTGTGGACACTAGACGTGCATTTCTTAAACGAATCAAGCGTTAAACCCATTTCAATCCATGTTTCTACTGATCGATCAACCTAAAAATGAATCAAAAAGAGTTTATGCTGGGTGAATCAATTTGTCATCAGATAAATCAATTGTTTAAGGAAGAGGACAATGAATATACATGCCTAATGTATTCCAATGTGTTCCCTATTAAGGGTTAATAAGTATATAGGGGTGTATATCAAAAATACCCCTCTCTGTCTCATTAGAGATATCTTTGCCAGAAGCTCAAGGAAGCAAGGTGAAAGGTTAGTGTAGGACCCGCCTAAGGGAGTCTGCCTTGACATTGGCAGACGGGCATTTCCTCCAATGGCCATTGGAGTAACTAAATGACCTTCATTTGTCTAAATATACATGGGATTAAGGAGAGAGCGCAGGTAACGTTTTCTTTGGTTTTTGCTGTATGTATTGGGGCTGATGTGCACTGTGGTCGTTGCTGCTGCCCAGGAGTGATGGGAGTGAGTGCAGGACTTGTGTTTTTTTTTGTACATACCTAATAGACACATTCTGGCTCCATGTTGCTTTTAGGCATACAGAAATAAAAGTTAAAAATAACTAAAGACATAGAACACACAAAAAACATAGCACAAATATTAGAGCTCATGGCTGGATATTACGCGCACTATGGTATTTTGCAAAAATATAATTAGCATAGTTTCAATGGAAAAAAAGCCAAAAACACAAGTCGCAGGTAGTGTTAAAAAGAGCACAGACAGCATGTACTATCAGCAGCCAATGAAACTCCATGTTGTGTATTAAGAGACTCCCAGCATTCTAGTAAAGAAGAAAAGACTCTTTGAAATACATGATTATTCCAATGGCCCACTGAGCCCAAGGTAAGCAAGCAGCTAGAACCATTGTATTCATTTTGTATCGAAACAGCTGAATACATATAAAACGATAAATAGAAAGTTGAGTGGAAATTTTCAGAATAGTTGCAAAGAAAAATTTGATAATAATACCATTTTAATTTGGGTTATCGTCCATCTTTACACCGTACTGCTTTTTATAGGGCTTACAACATATCAGATAAATAATTAGGTTTATAAAATATAAACATCATTTAAGGGATCAATGGGACATGACGGCTATACAGTGCAGGTGCAAATAATCCCATTTATTTCTTTGTCAATCATTCTTTTATTGTGCATTTTTAAAGGAACATGTCAAGCACCATAACCACTACAAGCACAACCCTTTAAATTCTTAGTAACATAAGATAGTTATACAAAAATTAAAGAAGAACAAACAATAGTCCTGCAACTAAGACTACCTCACTAATATTAAATCTCAAGGCATTCCCACAGAGAAGGACACACAAATCACAGAAACGTCTTAGGTTCACTAGTCTCATACACAGAATCCACAGCATGTCATTTTGGGCCATTCTCATCACTGCTATTTGAGTGCAATCAGCTGAGTTTAGCCATCCGTAAAGGATCCGACCTGCATGTCTGGAGGACTAAAACATAAAGAAATTCATTCAAGTGTCAGCATATAACCTACTTATAATAGAGAAGTGTTATCTTCCTCTCTGCAGTGTGCTCGATTGTATACTTTAAATTCCTTTAGTTTTAGCACCAATCAAACTACTACAAAAAAATATGGAAAAAAACAACAGCAACGTAAAAAAACAACAACATATTTTTCCAATTTCTCAGATAGTAGATTTTCTTAGTCGTATAGCAATATTGCAGTGCATTCCATCAGATATTGTATTTGTGTTGTGTATTATTAAAATATCCTTTCACACAATCATTGCAGTAAGGCATGAGAGCCTGATGTTACCTCCATGGTCAAATACCTCCCATGTGTCCCTATTTAGGATGACAGTTCTTATTTTGGACATAGATCCCTCTGTCCCTCTTTTTTATCCGAATGTAATAATTCTCACAGTAATGTGTCTTTAAATGACAATAAATGTGTTGAGAAAACAGTCTGGGTACAGCGGCGTACATACCCTGCAGACCCCTGTGACTGGGTACCCGCCAACACCATTTGCGGCCCAGGCCCGCGTGGCAAACCACTGGGGCCGCCATTCAAGGGGTCCGTCGGGTGGCCCATGCTGTCAGGGCCACCCGATGGAAAGGGATTGTAAGGGGGCCCGGTCAGCGCTAGACGCTTTAACAGCACGACCGGGCCCCCTGTGATTACATCACAAGCTGGGAGGAAGTGACTGCACGTCTCTCCTCCCAGCTATTACTGAGAGCCTGCACAGGACAAAGGAGGAGGGAGTCAGAGTGGGAACTCTGACTCCCATCAACCTGAGCCACCACTGGACCACAGGGAATGTCACCCTCCTGCACCTAAAAGGTAGGGTGACTAAAATATTTTGTGTGTGTGTGTGTTTGTTTGTTTGTATGTATGTCTTGTGTGTGTGTCTGTCTGTATGTATGTGTGTCTTGTGTGTGTGTCTGTATATATGTATGTGTGTATGTATGTGTCTTTGTATGTATGTCTTGCGTGTGTGTGTGTCTGTCTGTATGTATGTCTTATGTGTGTCTGTATGTGTATGTGTGTCTTGTGTGTGTGTGTCTGTATGTATGTGTCTTTGTATGTATGTGTGTCGTGTGTGTGTGTTTGTGTCTGTATGTATGTGTTATGTGTCTTTGTATATGTGTGTGTATGTGTGTGTGTATGTATGTATGTGTCTGTATGTATGTGTGTGTCTTTGTATGTATGTCTTGTGTGTGTGTCTTTGTATGTATGTGTTGTGTGTGTGTCTGTGTGTATGTGTCTTTGTATGTATGTGTTGTGTATGTGTGTTTTTGCATGTATGTGTGTTTTATGTGTGTGTCTTTGTATGTATGTGTGTGTCTGTATGTTCGTGTCTGTATGTATGTATGTGTGCATGTCTGTATATGTTTGTGTGCCTGTCTGTGTGTGTCTGTCTGTTTGTATGTGTGTGTGACTGTCTGTGTGTGTCTGTCTGTATGTATGTATGTGTGCCTGTCTGTTTGTATATATGTGTCTTTGAGTGTATGTGTGTCTTGTGTGTGTCTGTATGTTTGTATGTATGTGTGCCTTTCTGTTTGTTTGTATGTATGTGTGTGTGCCTGTCTGTGCCTGTGTGTGTCGGTCGGTCTGTATGTATGTATGTGTCTGTGTGTGTCGGTCTGTATGTATGTATGTATGTATGTGTAACAGGGTTGATGTTCCAGGAGGGATAAGCCAAATGACAAATGATTTAGGTAAACTAGAAAAATGGTCAGAATTGTGGCAACTGACATTTAATGTGGATAAGTGCAAGATAATGCATCTTGGACGTAAAAACCCAAGGGCAGAGTACAAAATATTTGATAGAGTCCTAACCTCAACATATGAGGAAAGGGATTTAGGGGTGATTATTTCTGATGACTTAAAGGTAGGCAGACAATGTAATAGAGCAGCAGGAAATGCTAGCAGAATGCTTGGTTGTATAGGGAGAGGTATTAGCAGTAGAAAGAGGGAAGTGCTCATGCCATTGTACAGAACACTGGTGAGACCTCACTTGGAGTATTGTACACAGTACTGGAGACCGTATCTTCAGAAGGATATTGATACCTTAGAGAGGGTTCAGAGAAGGGCTACTAAACTGGTTCATGGATTGCGGGATAAAACTTACCAGGAAAGGTTAAAGGATCTTAACATGTATAGCTTGGAGGAAAGACGAGACAGGGGGGATATGATAGAAACATTTAAATATATAAAGGGAATCAACACAGTCTCAGGGCCAAGAAATTCATGTCTGCATTGTCCCCATCTGCAGATTCCGCAGGATACCTATATTTACTGTTAATCTTGCTTGGACGTTCATTATCCTACTGACAGATACCTTAATTAGTTGCATACTGGATCAAGCTTGGACATATAACAAAACTATCACTACTGGTGGGCAGATTGATCCAAGTGATGTTGCAATCTAAGTTGGGGTGAGAATTGAGTTCCAGGAATTGCTGATAGACTGCCTAATATCTTGCTTAAAGGAACAGTATGAATACAAATCTGTTTTCCTAACGTTACAGTCTTAAATTAGAGGGACAAAGGTTTAAAAATAATATCAGGAAGTATTACTTTACTGAGAGGGTAGTGGATGCATGGAATAGCCTTCCAGCTGAAGTGGTAGAGGTTAACACAGTAAAGGAGTTTAAGCATGCGTGGGATAGGCATAAGGCTATCCTAACTATAAGATAAGGGACTAGGGACAAATGAAAGTATTTAGAAAATTGGGCAGACTAGATCTGCCGTCACATTCTATGTTTCTATGTTTCTATGTGTGCCTGTCTGTATGTATGTGTCTGTATGTATCTGTATGTGTCTATGTGTGTGTGTGTATGTATGTATGTATGTATGTGTGTCTGTCGGGAGGTGGAGCGGGGTAAAGGGAGGGAGGGGCGCCCACGGATCATTTTTGCACCGGGGCCCCATGGATTGTGTGTACTCCACTGTCTGGGTAAAGTATATTTTAAAATACATTTGAGTAGGTTAAATTGTTAATAGTAATACACCTAAAATTTCTCAGAACAGCTGGAACTTGGCCACACCTCCACTCGCATCCTTAAAGTTACAATATCCCTCTTTGTCCATTTGAAATGTTGGTATATAGGAGGTAATCTTTCCCTTCCTAGTGTGGGTGGATACATAAAGCCAAACATCTACCCAGGGTGAAATATTTATAACTGGTGACAAATACAACACACAGAGTCAAAAGCATACAAAAACTATGGATATGGAGTTAGACTGAAATGGGGAAAAACAAAACAAGAGACAAATTCAGTAGTAAACAATAATTTGTGTGATGGAATCTCGGGGACAGCAGCTATGGGTGATGGAATATTTTCAGACATTGATTCCAAGTCCAGCTCACTGTGAAGTC